GAGTTCAAGAAGTTATGTGCTTTGAACGAGATTCGTTTGGAGAGGACTACTCCAGGGACACCATAACAGAACAGCGTAGCAAAAAGAATGAACAGAACACTGATAGAGCGTGCGAGGAGCATGCGTCTACATGCAGGTCTACCAAAAACCTTTTGGGCAGACACAGTGCATACAACAGCGGACCTAATAAATCTCGGGCCATCAGTTCTGTTAAACTTTGGGATTCCGAAAGAGGTTTGGAGTGGCAAGAAGATTAATCTCTCACACTTGAGAGTATTTGGTTGGGTGGCATATGCACATATCAGTAATCATGTTAGGGACAAGCTGGAAGCTAAGTCACTGAAGTGTACAGTCATTTGGTACGGTATTGATGAGTTCGGGTATCTTCTTTGGGATGAGAAGAATAGAAAAATCATCAGGAGCCGAGACGTCATAGTCAATGAGGAGGTGATATACAAGGACAGGGACAATGCCAAGACTAGCTAAAAAGTGGAAGTAACATTACAGATGCGGGCACATCCGGGTACATGGATTTGGAGGAACTTTCAGATCGGGGAGACAATATCAATTCTGACGGAAGAACGGAGGATACTCCAGGTGCAGAACCGACTACCCAAGGCGAGGAGCTTAGGAGGTCATCCAGGGTACCCAAACTGAATCTCATGTATCTTTCGTCACTAGACTACCTACTTTTGACAGATAGCAGAGAACCAGAATGCTATGAGGAGGCTATACAAGTGAGTGAATCTCAACAGTGGGAGCATGCAATGTAAGAAGAGATGGATTCTCTCTACTCTAACGAGACATGGGAGTTAGCCCCGCTACCTGCACAGAAGAAAACCTTACATAATAAGTGGGTCTATCAGGTCAAACAGGAGAGTGATGGAAGGAAGAGATACAAGGTCAGATTACTCGTGAAGGGTTCTAACAGCGGAAAGGAATGAATTATACAGAGATATTTTTCCCCGTTGTGAAGCTCACAATCATCAAGGTGGTGTTAAGCTTGGTAGCTGCTAAAAATCTCTACATTGAGCAGTTAGATATGAAGACTATATTTTTTCATGGTGACTTGGATGAAAAAATCTACATGAAGCAACATGTTGGCTTCATTGAGGAAGGAAGGAAGAGATGTTGTATAGGCTCAAGAAGAGCTTATACGGATTGAAACAGGCCCCAAGACAGTGGTATAAGAAGTTTGATAACTTCATGCAGAACAATGGCTATGACAGATGTAATTCAGATCATTGGTGTTACTTCAAGAGGTTCGAGTCCAGCTATATCATGTTATTGTTGTATGTTGATGACATGTTAGTTACAGGATCGTGTTTATAGGAGATAAATAAGCTGAAGGAGCAGTTAGCAAAAGAATTTACCATGAAGGATCTGAGTGAAGCGAAGCAGATTCTTGGGATGCGAATCAGCCGAGATATGGCTGAGGGGATGCTGTAGTTGAGTCAGTCTGAATACATTGAGAAATTACTTCAGAGATTCAATATACAGAATGCTAAGGTTGTTAGAATACCCCTTGGAAGCTAGTTTAAATTATCTAGTGAGCAATCGCCCAAGACTGATGCAGAGAAGGAGCACATGAGAAAGGTTCCTCATTCATCAGCCATTGGTAGTCTGATGTACACAATGGTTTGCACTAGGCCGGATATTTCCCATGCAGTGGAGTTGTGAGTAGGTTTACAAGCAACCTAGGAAAGCAGTATTGGGAGGTCATGAAGTAGATATTATGATATCTGAGAGGGACTACGAATATGCCACTGTGTTTTGGGAGAAAGAAGTTAGTACTGCAAGGATACGTAGATGCAGATTTCGCTGATGATCATGATACAAGGCAAAGCACCACGGGGTATATTTATACTTTAGGGTCGACACCAGTGAGCTAGGTCTCACGTTTACAGAAGATTGTGACATTGTCCATAACTAAGACAGAGTATGTCGTAGTGACAGAGGCAAGCAAGGAGATGATTTGGTTAACCGAGTGTCTGGAATAGTTGGGTCTGAAGCGGGAGAACGAAGTTCTTTAGTGTGATAGCCAAAGTGCTATACACCTTGCCAAGAACCCAATATTTCATGCCAGAACGAAGCATATCGAGTTACGTTACCACTTTTCATACGCTCGATGATTGAGGATGAGAAGTTACAGTTGGAGAAGATTTTGGGGAGCCAAAATCCTACAGATATGTTGACTAAAGCAATCACCATTCAGAAATTAGAGTTGTGCGCAACTTCAGTTGGCTTTCATATGTAGGAGATGAGGGCAGAGCAACACAGGAGAAGATGTTTGTTAAGAGAAAGCTTGTTAATGGCAGTTTGATCTCCAAGTGGGAGATTGTTGGAAGAAGGTGTATAGATCCAAACCTCGGCGAGCTTGAGCGACTTCAGGCGAGGTCCAGTCGACGGCGCAGGCGAGGCGACGAGCTTCTGGCGAGTCGACACAGGCGAGGGTGAGGCTCTATAAGCGAAGTCGACGACTAGGGAAGGCGAGCTCGTGGCGAACTCGAGCGAAGACCCTATAGGCGAGGTCGACGCGAGGCGCAAGTGAGCTTTGAGTTGGATCTTGCAGGCGGAGCGAGCGGACTGCAGGCGAGTGGACACATGCGAGCTTCAAGCGATGAGCTTGCCTGTAGGTGAGGTGCAGCCGACCTCCTGGAGAGCTGCGTGAGCTCGATTGGCTTGGGATCTCGTCTACGTTGGTAGAAGACAGACCGTCTCCAACTGGCACTAGGGTTTCCCTATAAAAGGGAACCATGTGCACAAGATGTGATTGAGAGATTCTCGAGACGTTTTTGGCGAGAGAGCTTGGCGGCTGAGAGCACCTTCTCCATAGAGATTTCAAGTTGAGATTTTCAGAAGAAAATCTCATTATTTCCTGTAGCTCATTTGTATTGATTTATTGAGGAGAGAGAGATTTTTTCTGTTGAAAAATCTCACACATTTAAGAAGAACATAGAATTTCTATTGCTTCTCTTTTAAGAGATCTCAAGTTTGAGATCTGCTCTTTGTAAGCTTGTAAATCTTCTTTGATATAAAGAACATTATTTGTGTGGCTCCCGAGAACGTAGACAAGTTACCGAACCTTGTTAAAACTCAGTGTTCTCTTTTCTTATAATTTTTTTAATTTGCTGTGATTTCTTCTTTCTATTGTCTTAACACATGATCCGGTAGGGCAAATTCCGCAGAGGGTTCATATTTGACAGGTGGTCAAGTAGCTTACATTCCCCAACAGTAACCCACAGATGAATTATACGCTAAGTAGAATATGAGCTATAGTGTTTGGTTAAAAAATTTAGGTTATAACTTGCTTTTAAGAGGAGAGTGTTTTGCAAATTGATGAATTATAATCCATCATTGTTGTCAAAATAACCAAATTAGATATGAATCTAAATTTAGTTATTGAATACACTTTAAAACTATCTCAAATGTTGAGGGGTAAACTTGTTACTTACTTGGTCAACCTATATGGTTTATAGGCCACCGAAAAAATAAGCTGGATTAGTGGAGCTTTTTTTATGCTTATAAGTCAAAATAAGTCGGTTGTCAAACATGTTGCATGGGTCTATAAGCCAATTTGACCGGTTGTCAAACATGTCCATAATTAGATAGCTCAAGGTATGATGTCAGAATATAATTAATATAATTAATTCAAAAAGAAAAAAAATTGAGTTAATTATAGAAGATAGTTTGCGTCCTAGCACTATTGAATTCACAAACTAATTGATAGAAATATAAGAAAAGAAGATGGAAAAAATTGTGTTAGCTATTATTTAATGGGCTGAAACCTAGAATCAATTTGCGGTGCTAATTTTTTTTTAAAAAATCTATTTAAATTAATTTGTGATAGGTGTGATTTGACCCTGGGTTCCTTAGTATTATCTTAAATTAAGTCATTATAACCATTACGTCAAAACTCTATAGTTATGATGTGGGTTGATGATTATAATTTTACATTCTGATACTCTCTTTCTTTCTAATAGTGGATTGTCTTAAAACAAATTGTTGATTTACATAAATTTTTTTACCAATATTTTCATAATTAATATAGAATTTTATATAATGGATGCTTCAATTAAGTGCTCTAATTAATAGAACAAGCAGAATCATAGTAAACATAATAGAATTTTGTTGAAAGAGACTAAGAAAGAATATGACAGTGATTAATTATTGAAAAATAAAATCCAAAATTTATTGGAAGAATAGGATTTCTGTAGTTTAGTACCAACAGTTAGGAAAAATGCTTGCCGTTGTTTTTGTTGTATAGAAAAGTTATAGACTAGAAGTTAAGTGTGGCAAAATTTTAGTGTAAGCATCGAACATAGGTATTACTAATTGAGTTATCCTTGGAATATTGACAATATATCTCAATGCAGTGGCAAAGCCACATAGTATTCAATGATGTTATAAAACACAATTAGATTGGCTACATTATACATATTTTCAGTAAAATTTTTACTTTTATTTACTATTTGGGACAATACTAACATTATGATAGAACACCGCTAACAAGAACAAAACTGTTAAACTCTCGGTGTAGATTCTAAAAATACAAATGTGATAAATTATACAGGTCCACTACTGAGATAAGATTCTGGCTACGGGTCAGTCGATGCAGCTTGCAAATCGTAGACCTAATAGCTTGATAACATACATATTGTTTCACATAATTAAAACTCAAAGGTCCACCCAATATGGTGTAGCTAAGTTGATAAATTGCCTATAAACAGTACTTTAAGGTCTCAAGGTCGACTCTACTGAAAAGCACTCACATGAATTTAATTTTCTTTGAGTGCCCAACGCCGGGAAAAAGGGCAAAAACTCATAGGTCCGAATATAAGTTGATATTTCGATAATGGATCCGGGCCTATTCCTGCCCAGTTATGATTTCGACTCAACCGGCCCACAAGACGCTACAGAATACAAGCCTTTTATAATTAATTAACGGGTCGGATCTAAATGGATGGCCAGGATTCTTTGTTGCATAAATCACAAACTATAGAGATCACCTATATACTCTCTTTTATGTTTTCGTTTCCCCCTCCTCCCAAACCCTAGAGCTCCGCCTACCTCCATTTCTCTCGACTCAGTCAAAATGGCGTAAGCATTCAAAACCCTAGATTCCTCTATTCTGCTTGCTTCTGTTATCATTTTGCTATGTTTGATTAAATATGACGTTGATCTTAAACTTCTGCAAACAACAAAGTTTAGATTTTATGTTATTTTATTTTTTGCTGTGAAAGTAGATTCTTTACATATTTTCTGTAGTTTTAGGGCGTAGATTGAGATATCGGTCGTCCATGGCAGAAAATTTAAGAGAAAGGACCAATTTTGAGATCATTTGTTTGTTTATTTTAACTAATAACAGTTTTATTTTGTGATTAATAATTAGTCCGGGATTACTGCAGTAAATCGTACGGTTCGCTTAATGTTCCTAAATTGTGTCTTTGTTGATCTCATTGTTTTTTAAATTATGTGCAGTGTCGTATTTGCCTTGCACATGTGATTGAAACAAAATTTACTAGGATTTAATCATGTAATATGTCTAATATCTGTTGCTTAGCTAATAATTCTTCCACCGCTTAAAGTTTTCTAAGTCTTCACTCAAATGCCTTGAGCAAATGAATTATGAATCGGAATGTATTATAATGAAACGAATTATCATATGCTTATATTCACTGAAAGATTGGATGACTGTATGTGATGGAATGTATTATAATGAAACGAATTATCATATGCTTATATTCACTGAAAGATTGGATGACTGTATGTGAGTTATCATTACTTATTCTGGTGCATGCTTTCATATATTTCTTGAAGGGATGAGGTTCCTGTTGAGGCACCCACTCTTGGAGAGCCCATGGATGTCATGACTGCCTTGCAGATTGTGTTGAAGAAGTCGTTGGCTCATGATGGGCTCGTTCGTGGTCTCCACGAGGGGGCCAAGGCTATTGAGAAGCATGCTGCACAGCTTTGCGTGCTTGCGGAAGATTGTGACCAACCGGACTATGTCAAGCTGGTGAAAGCTCTTTGTACTGATCACAATGTGCACTTGGTGACTGTTCCTAGTGCTAAAACTCTTGGAGAGTGGGCTGGGGTTAGTAATTTGCTCACCCCCCTCTCTTCTCTTCTAACAGTTTAGTTTGCATCATCTTCTAGCACGTCGTATCTAACTTTTTGCAGTGCTATGACTGCCATTACTCCTTTTCTCTTCTCAGATGACTGTTTCTAATGACCATAAGCTGTTGATTCATTCAGACTTTGAGGGTAGAACCTGATTTTATCGTAAATTTTAGTATGATTAGTGGTTTAGAGTCTTCAGACAACATTAATGGATGTAGGCTAGAGTAGAAGTACTAGCCTGCTTAGTCTACTCTTTATATATATTATTTTTAATGTGGAATCGTATAGTGGGGGTAGAAAGAGTATTTTTTGATTTTATACGGATATACTAGATACTTCTCTTAAGAAGTACTGGTATCCGAGGAAGTTCTAGACTTGTGCAGTTGTTTTTTGGGCTGTAGGGAATTCTAGCTAAGTCTACATTGAGGTGACTTTTTGCTTGCCATTTATACGCTAATTTTTGATGTTTAATCAGGTGGCCTGTCATTGTGTATTGAGTACATTATGCCTTCTTAAATCTACTGTTTGGTGAAATGATGCATGTATACTAGTATTGTACCTTGATTTTGTGATGCTAGCATTTCACGAACACTTAAATAGTAAATTGCTATTATAAACTGCGGTCCTTTGGTAGTATCTGTTAGGATTTTCCTTCCATAATTGTTTGCTTCAGGCCTTCATCTTTTTATTGTACATATGAAGTAATTTACTGTATTTATTGTAAATTTAGATCATTCGTTGAATTTAAATTGCACTTGTTTTGGGAGTCATCCAACGGTCACCTTAATTTCTTCTCGAGGAATCCTGAGATTTATATGAAGTAAACTTTTACTTACTAATAGGGACTGATATTTGTGGAGAGAACTTCAAACCAAGTGATAAAGGTATGATTGTAGGAACTAGTCTTTCAGAAAGTGAATTTGTTGCGCAGATGATACCAAATACCATAATGAAATGTTTTTCCTTTTCTTATTTTTGACATACTCTAGGGAGTTAAACTTGACGTTTGTGCAGCTGGCAGTTCAATGCTAACAAACTGATGATGTTATTTCTTTTTTGTAAATCAAAGAAAAGTTTTAGTTTGAGAGGTTGTCTATTTTTGTTTATCAGTTATGATTTCAATTTCAATTTGTTCCTTGTCAAGTTGCCTATACCAAGAATGCATCTTTATCATGGCATCAAACTATCAAACTGGAGTTTGTTGCAACTTGTATCTTTCTTTTTAACTAACTAGATAACTGATGATACGCTGCAGCTTTGCAAGATTGATTCCGAGGGCAAGGCAAGAAAGGTTGTTGGGTGCTCTTGTGTCGTTGTCAAGGTAAAGATGATGGTAACAGTCATGAAATAAACTATATATCAAGTATATGTTCTAATTAGAACTGTGCTCGTTCTTTATCAGGACTACGGGGAGGAGTCAGAGGGACTTAACATCATCCAGGGCTATGTGAAGCCGGAATGAGTCGATTTTATTGTTTTAGCTAGCAGTGTGGCATCTAGAAATTTTGAAACCCTGTTATTTACTTTGCCTATGGTTGAGGTTTTAAATTAGTTTGTTTTGCTTTGTAAAACATTACTTCTTTAATTTTATGTTAGAATTCTATATTCTGGTTTTAAATTAGTTTGTTTTGCTTTGTAAAACATTACTTCTTTAATTTTATGTTAGAATTCTATATTCTGGTTAACAATCCTATGTAGTCTTTTTGTAAAACATTACTTCTTTAATTTTATGTTAGAATTCTATATTCTGGTTAACAATCCTATGTAGTCTTTTCGATAATGATTTCAGTCTGTGGTGAGGTAACCCCTTGTGCAACATATCTCTGCGTATCTCAAATGATTTTCTCTTACAGAGATGAGATGTGGATTCTCTTTATAAACCCATGTTGCTAGTTCTGCTACCCCTCAATATTGAAACGTGCAACCTGGATTTTTTATTCTTTTTTTTTTTAGGGTTGGTGTAATTCAATACGAGTTCGTGTTCCGTAAGTTGAAATGAAAAAAATGAATAGAAGATGTACTTTTGGTTCTGGGATTACAGCATGTGAATCTATTCTAATGTGCGAGGCGATCTTTGAAAAATCATCCGCCTTGATTATAACATATTGGTTTCATCGTGTAGCCATACTTTTCCATATTGATTATAACATATTGGTTTCATCGTGTAGCCAAATATCAAATATCTACCTTCTTCCATTATACATGAAGTAAAGCCTAGATGCAATTGTTTTTCACAGCATACTCTTTGGGGGATGTTTTAGTGTGGTATTAGCAGGTTTGTTGCATGTTATCCCTGTATAAATAAAAGATAGCTAAGTTGCTTTCATATTTACGATAAAGTAGTCCTTAGTGATCAAAATAGTCCTTGGTGTCATGGAGACTTGCTCCCCAGACCCGGTGCCTAGAGCCTATGCATCTTGGCGGGAGCCTAGTTAGGACCTAGGCGATTTTCCTATATATATATATTTAGTTACAAATACAATAATTGATAATGAATGACGATATTATTAGAAAGCACTAAGTACTATTAAGCGTTGGACTAATGCCTAGTGTCCAGGTGTCTAGGCGAATTTTTTTGGTTTGTTTGTTTAAGGTGGTTATGCAGGTTTTTTGCAAGTCGGAGGAGGTGGTGGAGATATTCATAGTTAGTTGAGAAGGTCAAATGAGTTTGGAGAAAATCACAAACTAGATTTAAATAGTCCAATTTGCTTATGCAATCCACGCTCCTTTAGATGCTCTCATGATTTAGGTGGGCGGCTTAGATACTGTCTAGGCCTAGGTGGGTTTCTAATCATGCTAGGCGCAAATTTTTTAAAACATTGATCTTATGACTTGATGTTTTTCTATTATTTATAATTATATTTATATTAATATTATAATATATATATAATAGTTATATATATATATATATATATTATATATATATATATATATATATATATATATATATATATATATATATATATATACTAGTGTGTGAACACAATGCAAAACACGACATATCATTTTTTCCTGCTACAGGAATCTCAATTTAATGTTATAGTAATATTTTATAACTTTTTGGAGTGCTACAGTTCCCGCCTCTGCTACAATTTTTTTAAATAATGTAGTTTTTCAGTATGCTACAGTGTTTTTAAAAATTGCTACAGCATCCAGTATCCTGGTTGCTACAAGTAATTATGTTACTAATAAATGCTGATGTAGCATTTACCTGCTAATCATGAATAATGAATCTTGCGGTTTTTCATTTGTATATATATATATATATATATATATATATATATATATGTATATATATATATATATATATATATATATATATATATATATATATATATATATATATATTATTATATATATATATAGTATATAATATATAGTAATTTCATTTAGCGGTATTTTGCTGCTAAATGAAATGTATTATCAGAACTCAAGTCAGATTTCTAGGTCATAATATTTATAAAGGAACTATAGTTCCAATTGATATAAGCATCGAATTTGCCTCTAAATTTCCTGATATCATAATTGATACAAAACAATTACTTTTGAAATCTAGAAGATAAGATGAATGTGGACATTACTTGGATATGGACAATTAATTAGATGACTCTTCATTAGCCCATGTCCTTTAGTCTTCTTATTATCCATCTATATACAATTAATTAGATGACTCTTCATTAGCCCATGTCCTTTAGTCTTCTTATTATCCATCTATATAATGTATGTCATGGACTACCATGTCCTTTAGTCTTCTTATTATCCATCTATATAATGTATGTCATGGACTACAAAATGTATGGAGAAATGAAGATGAACAAAAATGAGATGATCACTTTCTCCCTATATTTTCTCTTCTCTATTTATATACTCTTACATTTCATGTTCGATTCTTAATTATGATATGTGATGTATGTAGATATAACAACAAGATTACAACACGTTATCAGTACGAAAGCTCTAGCTAGCCAGTTCGTACTCGTCAGGGAGGCTGTCAACTGCCAGCTCTGCAGTGGTATGTATTTTGATGAAATTTCCATTTGTGATTTTTGTTCACACCTAAATCAAAAGGCTGTTCAAACTGGAATTTTTTTCGTACTTGCCTAGTATTCTTGCTTGTTTTATTAAGTGCTGTTGTTCATCACATGTGTGCTATTTGTAACTAGCTGCAAGGACATACCGATATACATGTGTGTTGGTTTCAAATAAAATTGGATATTTATATGCATGTGAATGTCTCAGGAATCCAAGTATATGAAAGACTCGATGATCCATTATACTTTTGTTTGAATCCTTCAGGGCCCAATATACTTAGGTGAAAGAAAAAAGCATAATCAGTGGAATATATGGAGTAATTAATATAAAAGAAAAGGGAGAGATATAGAATGTAGTCTAAACTGACCACCAAATGAGGCCACACAATGTTGCAGTATGAAATATAATTTAGTAAAAAATTAAAAATAAATAAATAAATAATAAATAAATGCAACTGACCCACTCTGGGAGGTCTCATGTAAGCATGTTGAGTGTATATTTGCGATTTATCTGCTATCCTACACAAAATTTGGAGAGTATGTAATCAATTAGATTGAATCCCAAGCACTGTTGATTTCCAGAGCATGTGCTAATAACTTTTAGCCAAATCAACGAATAAAACAAATTAGAAGAATTAGTAAATTCATCTCACTAATAAAGCAAATAGACTGTACCATGAAAGTAGTGAGATATATGTATCCTAAATTACCAACATCTAGAATAAATGGAGAGAGACTTCATTTATTTGCAGTAAAAGTGCATATAAATAAGTAATGAAATAGTAAAAAATAGAAAGGTAGGCAAGGAAAATGCCAAAGGAATATGTTTTCTACATGCATCCAGAGGGGGGTGGAAGAGAGTTTCTCCCCCATTGAAGCCCATCATATATAGCTGCCTACCGTTTGTGCAGAAGCCCAGTTAGGACTTGAATTGCTAGGCTAGGGAGTGATAAATGCATGCATGTATCAGGTCATCGCCAAGTCCCAAGTAGATTGATCACTATAATATGCACTTGATACCTTCTATTACTTAGCAGGATGGTAATTGCACCACTCTAGATTTAGAGTATGAATAGACAGAGCATCAATCATGAAAAATTATCATAATATATCAATTTGATGCTTATGCTTTAAATATTCTATTTGCTTGCTTGAAGTAAAATCTAAGCCTCATGAAAACTTGAAATTAAGTTGTTGGTTTTAAAGCTCATGTTGGCGTCCATAAGTGGTCCATTTTTTTTATTGCTAATTGCACTGGTTCTTCTTCTCCATTGAAATTATGCAATATTAGTTTCTATCCAAAAATGTCTTTGTGGTGTTTTGAATCTGGCAACCTTGAGTTTAGAAGAAAGGATAGCACAAACTGGTTATGCCTTTGTTTATTTTCTACTTGCTTGAGTTTGTGATGGTCATTGATCAGTCGAGCATTAAAAATTTTGTGTGAATTTTAATATCAGACTAGTTTGCCAGAAGCAAACATTTGAAAGATAATCTTTATTAAGATCTTTAGAAAAAAGAGCTTGATGATTTTGGTGATTATGCGTGATCTTATTAAAATGTGAATATTTCTAATTTCCCATGCACTAATCTTTCATCCCCATGATTAGTGCACCGTGATATATGATAGTAATTATTGATTGTCTTTGGCCTCGAACATTCATTTTTACTGGATACCCTTGTGATTTTTGCACGATTATATCTCTTGATGCAAACGCTTTAAATTTTCTCTCTATCAATTAAGACGTGAAAAATTAATGACTCACTGAAAAAGTATTCACTTTTCTGGGTAATCTCTGAAGGATCGCTTTGATCTATGGAACTGGAAGCCAATAATCTTCCCTCAAATACAACTGGCAGACTGAATCAAAACTTTTTGGATTTCAAATACATGACTAAATATGATTCAACCATGTGCTATATTGTCTAGCGGGTGAAGCTCGCAGTATTGATCGAAAAGATTTTTCCCCGTTTCATGCAAGTAGTATTATACTCCAGTAGCAGTACATGGCCAAAATGATTATGCCAAGCATTCTGTTTTGATATTTATATTTGGAGTTGTAGAGAATCACAACAAATTGTTGATGAGAAAGCACAATGTTAGACTAGTTGGGTTACGAGTTGTGTTTGGAGCACATGCTACAAAACAGAAAATTACTTATACGCATGGACAAGGGGGAGGCTATGAACATAGTAGGAGATCTTATCCTGTAGCCATTTTGGATTTTAAACCCTCGACTGAATACAATTCAATAAGTAACCTTGTACTCCTATAATAGTACAACTAAAAGCATTATGAACTAATCCTTGCATTAGTAGTTATTAAAAATACAACCAGCTGTTGTGAGAAACTATAATGCAAGTTTAATTGGTTCAGTTGTAGTGCCTGAAGCACATGTCATAATTCAAATCATAAGCTTGGACGAGGGGGAGGTAGTGGACATTGAAGTGGATCTTATCGAGATGGTCAAAGTAAACTATTTGGTTTTTCTATATTTGGATTATATACATTTGTCAGACAATTTTGATTTAACTTGAGTTTGCTTTAAACTCTTGTGAACCTATGTGATTTTTATTTATACAATTTAGAATTTGTCTGACCTAAAATACACCATGTTGTGATGATTTTTGAGATTTAGGGACCCAAATTCTTTTAAATTCTGGCAAGAGCTATTGGGTCATCTTGGGCAAAATATGATTTGTCGGATTTTCTTAAATTAAATAGAG